CGGGTTCATCCCAGGACCTTCCGCCGCAGGTCGCGGCCTTTGGGGCCTGGGTCTCGCCTCCTGAGCCGCCGAGGCCGCGCGGACAGACTCGGCTCAGCAGCAGCGAGGCCCCACGGAGTTCACCTCGGGGGGTCGTGGGGCAGTTCCGAGTGGCCAGGATAACTTCCGTGTACCGCCCCCACCGCTGATGGCTCAGCGCATTGCTGCTGTCCTCTGTTAGCGTTGGCATCAGGGCCGACCGTGTGAACTCCAGTGAGCTTTCTCTCCCGGCGCGGCTCCACCCATCTGTAAGACAACGGAGAGGTGCCTGGGAGAGGTGGGCTTGTCACCTTCTTTAAGAGAAGTGGTTAGCTAGACCTCAGGAAGCAGTTTGGAAAGTTTCCCCAAAGAATGTGACTTTTTGGAACCATCTCCTCCTCTACATTTACTATTCAAGTCCTCAACGGCGCTCTCCACGAGTGAGGAGTCTTCAGAGCGGGCTCCTTCCTTAAACAGGAGAGCAGTTCCTACCGTGTGCCAAGCGCAGAGACAGGTGCTGGCCGTGCAGAGATGAGTTAGGCAGACCCGCCGTAGAGAATAGTAGGCAACTCATATGACCTGGTTAGTGCCACAGAGGCACAAATGAGGGGCTCTTAACCTAGTGATCACAGAAAGCTTTTTGGAGGCGAGGACATGGATCTTAAAGGGCAAGTCGGAGAGAGAGAGGTTGAAAGGGTGTTCCAGACAGGTGATGACAAGAGTAAAGGCATCAGCCGCAAAACATGTGGCAACCACAAGTCAAGCAGTTTGAATATTTCATTCAGCTAGTATATATATGGAGTGCAAGATGAGGAGTTAAGGTCCCATCCTGACATTTTCCCCAAACTCCAGGCTCATATAACCAACTTTATCAATGCCTGGAATGATCTCAAACTGAATATGTCCCAAAGAGAACTCTTGTTTCCTCACATACAACAACACCCACATAATCCAAACCTGCTCAACCACCAGCTTTCCCCATTTTATGCACCCAGTTACTCAGGCCAGAAACCTTAGAGGCACCGTCAGTGCCTCTCTTTCCTCCTCACCTCCCATCTAATGCACTAGTCAGATCAGTCAGCTTTGTCTTTAAAATATATCTAGAGTTTCACTACTCATCACCACCTCCATCACGACCATTCCAATCCCTGCCTGGACTATTGGGCTCCTGGTTTCTACTAACCTCTCATCTGTGCAGCAGCCAAAATCTTTAAAAAGCAGAAAGCAAATGTGATTCTCCTACTCAAAGCCCTCCAACAGTCTCATTACTTTCAGAATAATCTCTTACTCTTACTAATGGCTTACATGCACCCACCTTGATGACTCTGCCACCTTTCTCACTGCCTTGTGGGTCCTCTACGTCCCCAAACCTGTCCCTGGCTCAGGGTCATTTGCATCCCATTTCTCACTTCCCCACCATATTTAAGTCTCTGCTCAAATGTATCCTCCACAGCCCTGCCTGCCCTGTTTTAAAGAGCACCCCACCCCCCAGCCCTTACTCTATCTCCTGTTGTGTTTTTCCAAAGCACTTACCACTACCTGAAAAAAACACTTGTTTGATGTTTGTCTCTTCTAATAGAATGTTAAGTTCCATGAGAGTTGAAACTTGTCTTATTCTCTGCTATGTTTCTAGTGCCTAGAACAGTAAGTACATAGCAGGTTCTCATTAAGTATTTGTTGAAGGAATGAATGGGCTTGTGTGTACCACTAAGGAGCTTGGCTTCTATAGGCGATCAGGAAAGAAACATGGGCAGATGTACATTTTAGACAGATCACTCAGACAACAAGGTGAAGAATGGAGTGGAGTCAGGACAGGGAAAGCAGAAGCAGGGAGATGAGATTATCAGAATGGACCAGGTGAAAGACAATGAGGGCATGGCAGACCACCTTCCATACCGCTGCGAGAACTCGCTTTCTCTCCAATACACACGTGGGCACACAGACACGTGTGCCTATACACAGAGAGGTCCGACCATCATGCTTTGGGTGTTAATTAGGACTTACTGACTGCAAATAGTACAGAAACAATTTGATCTAATTTAAGCAAGGGGATGCTTGCTATTGGGAATCAATGGGGACCAGATTCACAAGTCCCAGGAACACGGATGCTGTAGCGTTTTGCAGAAAGGGCCAAGAACTAGGACCCAAGAAGCCATCATAAGCTTTGACAGCACTGTCCTCTCTCTTATTTCTGCATCTCTCAGCTTTGTTCTTCTTTCTTTTGTCCAGTTTTTCTGATAATGGGATAGAAGATGGCTACATTCACAGCCTTCCAGTTTTTACATCTTCAAGAAAACAGCCCAATCTGAACTAAAATCTAAATTCTGTATATTTAGGACATGAGCAGGTGGGTCCTCTGGTACTGTCAGCTGTGCCGAGGGAAGTGGAGTCCCATAGTACAACATGCCTGCTGGGGGGCATCCCTGTGTGTGAGTGTGAGCTAAACAGATACCCTAAAATAGTTCACTGAACATCCTACTCCTTAGCTGCTCACTGCCTCTTCCCCACAACACATACTGTACATCCTTATTCCAGTTTATACATTCTATAGCTGTTCCCAGTACTGCATTCGGACTATCCCAAATACATATTCAGTCACACTTCTCCCAAAGTTATATCCAGTCATGTCATCCAGAGACAATGATGGAGCCATTCATTTTCCAAGTCCATTACCAAGTCCATTATCAAGCCTCTAGGTATTGTCTTCTCTTCTGTTTGGTCTTCATCCAACTGAAGTATGCTCTCAGTGGATTCTGTGATAAAGCTGACTTCCGCTACATATCTGATATATAATGAAAGAACTAAAATAGTAAACTGAAATAAAACTATTGACCATAGGAAAAAAGAGGAAGAAATTTCCAAGCCAGCACCATAAATTGATTGTCAGTCCAGAACAGAAACCATACACTACTGGAAGGGGATTGTAAATGGAATTACAGTATTAGTAAATCTCATTGCATTGGTTTCACATATCTTTAATGGCATAATGGCAGAGTGATAGCTACCCCAGATTTTGTCCTCTGGATGGGTTGTCCTTGTCTGGTGGGCTTTAGACCATCTCTGGGAAGAGGAACATTGGGAAGACACCCCTGACATCCCTGCAAAGGCCTTGGCTTTAGCAGTCCCTTCCCGGGTGGAGCTGGGCCTGAGAGACTGAGATTTGGTGTGTTGGTTTGAGTAGTCATAGTTCATGTGTTCCTGGCTTGTAATTTTTCTGTGGCTTCATTCTATAGAACCTTTCTTGGTTACCAGTCCTCAGGCTTGCTAGACCCAGTAGAAGGACCCTGGAAAGCCCTGCTGATCCTCATTGTTCTTAGTCTCAGCTGTTGATGGAGACCAATGGACTCTTTACCAAAATGCCCTACCCCCCATGCTACATGTCTTAGTCTCCCTTACTGTCTGAGTCTTCATTGTTCCTGAGTTCAGATGGTGAGGGATATCCAAGTGTATTTGTGTCACGAGTTTCAGGTAACATGTAGCAAGCATTAGACAGTGAGGGATGTCTGTCTATGTAAAAGCCTCTAATGTAACTCCCCGACTACAGAGAGTCATGTGCACCCTCCGGTCTAGAAGAATAAAAAATTAGAAGAGCCAAGATCTTTTAGGAAACTGTGACGAGGGGATGTTTTAGCAGG